TTATTTTCTTTTATCTATGCCCATTATTGAGTTATATGAAGCTATTTTTCTATGGATATGTCATTATTCTTATACGAGGGAGTTGTTGAAGACTCTTCTCAGCATTTTCGATGTTTTGAACAATATTTACAGCTGCCAAGTCGTAAATTATCAATTACTTAAGGATGATTCACGGTACACCGGACCGTACTCGAGCCGGATACGTTCCGTAAAGTAGACACCGAGCCACGTCCGGGCCTTCAATATATGCAACACCGAGTGGACAACGGGGATCATGTCCGTGCCGATTATATTCTAGAAAACAGTGTTGCCGCAGTGCTATATTTGTACCAAATTTGATACTTTTAATTCTATTTGGTACAGTGGTACTACATTTTCAAATCCAGGATGATTCGGTACAATAATTATTTCCCACGCGCACCGAAAATGAATAGATATTTAATAATTATCGTTGTTGATATTGCATTAAACGCGCTTACCGATACCATTCGGAGACAATCCGCATTAATTAACGACGTATTATACACGTTGTAATGTCTATAGGGTTGCCTATAATAAATAACCCGAAGAAAAAACTTAAAAATTTGCTGTTTCTAACATGCTTCTATATTTGCGTTTTTTTTAATAAAATTTAAGTTTTCCAAGTATCGTGTGTACTATTAGAATTACTTACATTTCTTCAACCTATACATACTTATAATTGGGTTTTCTGAATTTCTATTTCATGTTTTTCGTCTCGATTTGTGTCTTTCCCAGGAAGTTTTTTTATGTAGAAATTTATGAAGAAATTCACAACGACCAAACCGGTTAAAGTCATTTGCAGATGTATTTTGTTGTGCTTTAAAAAATTGTACCAAAGTGGTACATTTTTAGTTTATAATGTGGTACGCGCTAAAAGTTGGGTGCGGCAACACTGCTAGAAAACAGTCGCTATAGGCCCGTAGACGAACGAAGTATTTAGCCGTGGCGGCTCATTTATGTTTGCCGCAATGGGGCCGGACCGTAGCGGATCCGAGGAAAAATGTACACCGACATTTCTGGGACGGGGCACGGACGCGTTCCGGCGAAGCTCGGACCGTGCTCGGCTTAGCATGAATGTATAAGTATAAATAACATTTGACAATGTTTGGCCGTGCCTTCAGCGTCGCACGGCTCCGGCCCGTCACAGTGTACCGTGAATCATCCTTTATTGAGGAATTTATAGAAGAAGTAATAATTTTCACTAAAGAGCAAGATAACGCACAAAATCACAATTTTTTCGATTTTCACTGACAGTTCGACAAGCAAAACGATCCTTTAAGGCAACCGTTTTCAAAGCGTTCAGAGCAATCAGTAAAGACGCTAAACGCGTCAGACGAGAATACCGAAATCGTTAAGTAAGTGCGCGCTCAGCGAAAATTAACGTCATATACATACGCTGAGCGTCTAAAAGCGCTTAGCGTTTTCAAAGTTACAGAATACGGGCCCTGGTTGTGTACTAGGAGGTAAATTTTCATCCATATTTTCATCGATAGGTTTGTAGCTTCTGAATAACGGTCTAGGTAAACTATCTAGCCATTTGCCAGCTTAAAATTAGAATTTGGAGTTAGTAACTCGCATTTTCATTGGGGGACACTGTCATATTATTTATTTCAATCCGATGATCAACGAGAATACTCGTATAATTTAATAAAATTACTGTAAATCACTATAAATAATGAATTATTGGTAAATGAGCTGTAATTTCGGTATTATTAATCCGGTTTATGATGGAGATAAACAATTGTGATTGATTAAAATTTTATTTTAAGATGAAACTTTTGTTAACAACATTCTGAGAATTCGAATAATGAATTGAATAATGACAAGACAAGTGACATTTAGAGTAACAATTTTGATTGTGCAAAAGAAATACATATTCTATGAGTTTACTGGTTGCATAACGATTAAAATTAATTTAAAAATAAATCCCCAACACGAACAATGAACAAAATATTTAAACAAAAACAGACCACACAAAACAAATTGTTGGTTAGTAGTAGTCAGAGTAGAGAATTATCGTTTTCTGATAAAAATTACACAAATATTGTAAAATTATAAAGCTAGAATAGTATACGGTTTTATATTAACTCTATTTTTTTGAAGTTTATTCTTAAAAAAAATCAATTCTTAGCTGTTAGTAAGAAGTTTCACTTCAAATATGCACACAGTAAACACACAATTTTTTATTTTCAAACCCAATCAGGTTTGGGTTTGGAAATAAAAAGTGCTGTTCTTGCTTATTAAAGTAGGCTAAATTCCAAATATGGTGCACCAGAAATCCCCAAAAAGCATTTTTTTAGTTGTGCCGCGTCACATGAGACTATCGATATGTTTACACTATAATTACTAATTAGCTGTACTTTTAGATATACTTATAGCATTAAATCATACACATGTAAAGGTCCAAAACCTAACATAAAACATACTCACTCACATATTTTCTTTCTCTTCATCTAATATTTATATATTTCATTCAAAATCTTTAGATACTTTTGACATTAGGCACTAACTCTACACAGGGGTTTTCATTTGTTTAACAAAGGGTGGGTTTTGGATTTATTTATGAATGTGCACTGGTCAAGGCCATATTATATATTTTTGGATTGGTTTTGGTATTTTTGGTATATGTTACGATGTCGTTATATGGATTTATGTCTAAATACGATTTATCACTAACTCATTGACTTTGCCATAAACATACGAATCGTAAAACTTAATTTTAGTTGATCAAATTATAAATTTGGTTTATTAAAAATATTAACATACATTAAAAACTTATATTTAGTATCACGCCGAGATGAAGTCTGTAGTCATGCTGATTTATTCACTTATTCAAAGACAATTCTTCATATTTAGTCTAAACCAGGGCTTCTGAACTTACAGTCAACATATTTTTATCATTTAGTAATAAAATAGCTTACTTCGTGTTTCTTTTATTACCGATTCTGAACCGTCCTAGAACTGTGATGTGATACGCATGCCCAGAACACATGCGCCATAGAGTTCTAGAACGCTTCAAAATCGGTAATATCAAAAACCCGAACAAAGCCGACATAGGCTTGGTGCATTCTCCACCGGTGCTGCCACCATCGGAGAATATCGTAAACAACTGATATACATGGGTTTAAATAGCGAGTATTCGAGAAATTTATTATATAATTCCTCTAAAATGTGTTAGGATGTATAATTTGTGAAAATTCTAAAAATAAAAATAGAAAAGTAAATATTTTGATATCTTCAGAATGTCTTACTTGTATTACAATTTATTCTGCCAGTTAAAAAAACTTTTTGGGACTGGGTCATAATTGGGGCTATTTCGACTATAATGAATTTTTAAAGGTAAATAATTATAATTTTAGAAGATGTTTGTAAAACATTTAATCACTAGTTGATTAATAAAGATATGTATTTTATCTTCTCATAGTATAAGCCTATTTATTTTTTTGATTATGTAATGAGCACATTGTTTACTCACTTGTTTCGTCGAACTGCTTGAATCCATTTTTGCTTTTGATCAAATCAACGCTCTAATTACACTCTCCTTTACGGGTTAACATGTTTTCGTCAATTTTAATAAAATTTGAAGTTGTCACAATGCAACATGACTCCTAGTTCCGGTTCTTTTTCGCTTATTTTTCACTACCCGAAAAATATTTCATAGTTTCAATAACTGCACTATTAAAATCTAAAATACTTAAATATTATGACAAGGCCACGATTTTAATATTATTTCAATGCGATCAACATAAACGGTAACGAGACCTGCGTGAAATTCTTTATACTCGGCACTTCTAATTTTTGCCGTTGGAGCGCTGACGTCAGAATTTTTAAAATGAACTGAAATGCATCAAGCCTATGGAGTGCCAGATATTATTTTAAATTCTTATCAAATAACAATTAACCATATAAAATTAACCACCATATAAAACATACTTTTTTAAACTTCCTGAGGCTGTAAAATGTACCTGGAGAGAAACCCTGGTCTAGAAATCATCAAGATCGCAGATCATCCGTTATTTTACTTTATCCATATAAACAAACTTGAAATACTAACCCGTAATTTTATTATTATTCAAGGTGTATTATTTTATTTTATAAAATCCGTTTTATTTAATAAAGTTATTGAAAAAAGGGTTTATATTTTTCTTTTGTTGTTGTGTAAATATTGCACAATCTAACTTTAGCACCTTATTGCACTGGGGTTATGAAAAAGCATCTTATTCTAACGGTTAATATATTTGATTAATATATAGGTTAGAATAACTTAGGAATAGAGGTGTATGTGTATAGACTCTAGAATAATGATCTACCACATAGGTAGGTCTGTTATTATTAGAATTAAAAAACTTTTCATTTTATTAAATATTCATTTGAGTTTACTATTATTTAATTTAAATAAATCTTGTCGTTGGTAAACACCGATTGAGGTAAATAATTTATAAACTATTTCTTAAAAATTTATACAACAAATAAAAACATTTTTACATCTTACTACCAATCCTTTCAAGTTGTCAGAGATTACTAAAATTATAATATTGAGCAAATGAATATTTGATGATTAGATTTAAATGCGACAATTTCAAGTATTTATCTATAGTGTGTACACATGTGCCATTTTTTATAAGTTATCTTTATTGAATTTAACAATAAACCAAACCGGGTATTTTTATCGCTTTAAATTTACTAATAACCTGCTCAACTTCTTCCTCTTACCCTTTCCTTTATTTATCTATTAACAACAATATGTTTTAGTATTATTTATTAGGACAGGGTGCACTAATATCAGAATAATTTCAATGTTTGAAAAACCGTTCCAAAAAAATTATGTTTTACACTTTACACATCTCCCCCCTCCATCAAAACCAAACTGAAAGAAAATATTTATCCGGTTTTTACCCCTTATTGTTAGATTCGATAGAGGAACCTAAATTGTTGATCGATATATAAACGCTGATGGCCTTTTTGATCAATCGTTTCAGGACGAAGACGGATATGTAGTAGAGACGGACAAAGATTTAGGCGTGGAAGTGATCAGTTTCGATGACCCTATTAATAGCATACCCTCAGCAGATTTGGTCAACGGAGAATACTTGGCAACGGATAAAAATCTGAGACTTTCCTCCACGGTAACTACCTACAACTTGTGACAACACGACAAAAATTGATAATTATTTTAATCATTTCCTTGCTTTCTAATATAATTACTTAAAAGTCTTAATTTTAGATTATTGATATTCTACAATTAATGTCCTATTGTTTGTTTTAGAAGCTTTCTGTTGACTTTATAAACGTTTTGTTCAAAATTAACTGATTTTCTTTTCTTCTTCGAAGGTTAAAGATGGCACTACTGAAAAGCCGGTGTCTATAATCGAGAGGATAATAAATTCGATAACATCGATATCGACTACGGCCCTTCCAAACATCACAACCACCAACTTATCTACCACCACAGAAGCCACTGAGAATTCGGCCATCTTGAAACTGGCCCCTAAAAAAGCCACTACCAAAGACAAAACTAAACCTGACGACAGTACTAACGAGACTTCCGAGACTATAACCAGCGAAAAACCGACGACGATAATCGAGAAAATTCTTACTTCTTTGTCGGCCATCCAAACCAACGAAGTAGGTACATCGGACCTTAACACCGTAAGCAGTTCCTCTACTACTCCACTGTCCACTGTAACTAAATATTCAGCAAAATATAGAGATAGTTCTGTAGGTACCACGTCGCTTCCTGCACCTTCACCCTTAAGCACTCCTACTGGCCAGCTGAATGGCCTGGAGGAAATAAATGAGAACCAAGTTATCGAGAAAAAGACCATCGGAAAATTGCTAGATATTCTAAATGGTCTTGTTTCTACCCAATCTCCAGACGATCCCCAAAAATTAGTTGTAGTCACGCCGAAGATTCCTCCCATTACTACCATAAACAGCTTTGTTTCCACAACTATTTCGCCACAGGAACCTTTAGAAGCAATCTCTATAAATGATATTAATTCTAAAGGACCTTTTGATGTATCTACTCCTTCTGCTTCAACGGAAACTACTCTAAGCACACTTTCTACCGATGTAAATACAGATCCTTCTTTTTCGGCTACTAGTATAGTTAATGTAAATATGCCTACTATGTCTAGTATGGATACAAAAACTCCCTCTGAAAGTACAACAGCCTCTAGCACTGAAACTATCACCCAACCAGATTCAATAACCAATACCATGGCTAGTTCAGGCCCAACAACACAATCTACCGTTCAGTCACAAGACACAACAACACAAAACATTGTAGATACCACACCGGTCGATATGCTTGCCACTACACTTCAAACACAACCGACAACTCCCAGCGGTGGTTCAACTACATCAAACTTCTACACGGTTTTCTCCACTCTACCAACAGTTACGAACTTTGAAGTGAGTCCAGGAAGTGTTTCTATATTTTCAGCTAACGATCTTTCTAATTATATAACATCTGACGATAACTTATTTAACACAGTAACTATTAGTAGTAGACCGAATGGGTTTGATAACAATGTGTTAACATCTACAATTACTACTCAAAGTCCTAGTGAAACTACTGGCACTGAATCGACCACTGCGGTTGGAGTGTCATCTTCAACTGAATCTACAACTCTTATGGATTCTACTACTATAAAAGAAACCACAAGTATTAGTGGTTCAACTCCAGTTGATTCTGCATCTAGTAGTACAGAATCGAGTACAGTTATGACAACTGGAATGATGGATATGAGCACTACTGTGCCGAGTGCTACTACTGTAGTTCCTACTACAATGATGAGCGATTTAACTACAGTATTAAGTAGTACTGAATCTAATACTTCAACGATGTCTTCTAACAGTTCTAATACTAGTACTAATGTCTTATCGTCATCTAACAGGTCCGGTAAACTTTTATCGACTGATTTAGGAAATTCAATTAACAATAGAATCGATGTGTCCACCCCGTCCGCACCAATGCCCTCCACTCCGGACTATTTTATTTTTGCGATTCTTAACAACAATACCATCTTACGTAAACGACCCCCAACCATACCTAATAAAGAAGTGCCATTCGTCATAGTAGGGCTTTATCCCAACAACACCGTCGTGAAGAAGTTCCCAAACGGAACTGAGATTCCTATGGAACAAATCATAAAGGTTAGAGGTTTTGATACCAGGCCTGATCCCCCGCCATTGATCGAAATAACCAGTAACCAAGTAACAGACACCACCAATGGAACCACCACCCCGGACAATAATATAGCCACGGTATTCATTTCACCCCTTGTGTTGTGGAAGGAAATGCAGGGTTGTCAGAAAATAAGTAACAATACTTAATAACAGGATTATTATTTAAATCCGCTGAATTAATTCTTACAATTACTAGAAGTTCGTAACTCTGAGTTAACAATATAAAGTTATTATTAAGTATTGTTATATATGACTATCCTGTAGGTGTAGCAGTGGTTGAAAGAGGAATGCGGGTAGCAGACCTACAAAAACTTTGAATAAATTATTTTATTCATAGTTAAAATTCATTGGATTTTCAGTCATTTATCACCCATACACTCAGACTTTGTGTGCATTTTGTAGTCGCTTGGTACACGCTTATTGCACTGATACTTCAATTGACTAAAGTATTTGTGATTAATGTTTTATCTAAAACAAAACTGGTTGGGTACCTATGTTTATTGCATGTTTATGTGTTGTGATTAAAGAAAATGCTTTGTGTATATGCCTAATAACTATTATCTGAGTGATTGATAGCGAAAAATATTGAAATGGTTGTACATATTATTATAAAAAGAATATTATATAAATAAAAAAGGTCAGTTGTGAAATATGTAGAATTTTAGGCTTGTATGGAGTATTCTATGTAGATATTTTAGATTGAGTTTAGGTTACCTAGTTATCCAGCATATTTGAACTCGTAAGTATTATTTTTTTTCTTAAAAACTCTTTTATTTATGAAAATTTTAGAGAGCTTTGTCTTAATCTAAACGTACTCTATTTAATATGTTTTCTACTGAATTTGGTTTCAGAAGTCTGTATCCCTTTCTATTTGATGATCATTTTTCAACCATTTCTCTATTTTTCTTCATTTATTTTAAACACCATCTGCATATCTAACAACTAGTCATATCATTATTTTAGCTTTTATTTTTTCCCTGTATTAGTTAATTTGTCTCTCTGTCTAATTTTTCAAAATTCTGATGTTATTTTTTCCATTTTCTTTTTAGGTTGATTCAAATAGAATGGGAAGACTACTGGCACTTAATCAAAATCCGCCTACTGTTAGTACTACTAGTAGAATGCCGTCTAGTACCACTATGACTCAAGCCTCGACATTAACTAACACTAATACAGGATTTATGAGAACTACGGGAAGTTTACTTAGTATGAATTCAGTCGTAGATAGCATGACGTCTAGTACTACTGTAGCACCTGTAACTACTGCTGGAACTACCACTGTAAGAGCAAATACGTTGAAATCTAACGGTTTAGAGACAACTACAAGTAGTACCAGAACTACAACTCCTAATATTGTTCAAATATTAGCCGTACCGGGAGAGACTAGGATTAGTAAATCTCAAACATCAACTATGGCACCGACAAGTATAGTATCATATACTACTACTAAGAGACCCCCTATTACTAGTACAGTTTCCACTACAACGCAGGAATCAAGTACAGGAACTAATATTGCGCAAACTAGTACTACATCTCAATCTCTCACAAGTACTATGTCGCAAACTGCCGAAACAATTCCTCCAGCTTTAGGAGAAATATTAAATGGGCGAACATTTGATGCCTTGAATAATTTAATCAGTTCGGACGCGGTTACGACCACAAGTACACAGGCCCCTAATTATAAAACACTAAACGTAAATCAGGTGAGGAATGGAACTAAAATATGATCATCTATATTTTAGGGGAACCAAAAGAAGGCTCTATAATAGGATACTTTAATTTATTCTTAATAATATCACTAGTATACATTTTTTCGTTAGGAATCAACAAATCCAAAACCTTTATTATCTTTTAAACTATGATAAACTTCAGTATTTTTAAATAATTAGTTTTAAATACAAATAATGTTAACATATAACATCCCTTACAAATTTAGTCACTTTAAATTAAATATTAGAGCCTTCAGTACAGCTTATGCGTTAATTGCTTAAAGCTTGGCAGGGAATTTGAACTATTATAGTATAAATTATTTTATTTGGCTTAGTTTCATTCGCTTAAATCATTTCGTAATTTGTTGACAGTACAACGAAGTTTTGAATATACAAGACTTGCTTAATAGAAACAACGAAAGAGTTGTTTACAGATGGAAACCAGTTACCAAACCGGACACAATGAGTACTACAAAGGCAAGTTTTATTATACAAAAGCCGTACTGTAGACGAAGTAGATTCAGTAAAGTTGTTTTACTAAAAGACTTTTAACAGAAATTAACTATACGTATTCATCGTCGGCATTTGTATTTAGTATACTCATTTACTGACAAGACTGACTTTTTGACATTTTCATTACGTATATTCTTGCATGATTTCATGTATTTTTTTATTTTCAGTCATATAAAATAATACCTACATTCATTTTAATTTCTATTGGTAGGGACTCACTTTTATGGGAATTCTATTAATAACAAAAATTCCAAAAAATCATATTTAACAAGCATGCACAGCTATAACAAATTAGACTTAGAGACATATAAAACAAATTAACACTACCGTAAACAGGGGTAACTTTGGTACGATTTTCATTGATATATTCCTTGGTATATGAAATATTTAAACCTATAAACAGTATCATTTAACTTTTTATCATAACACGAAAATTAGCCAAAATATAAAATCAAGTCTAAGGAGTACAATTATTGCATCTTAAATTTGTCCTACCCCGTCTGTCGGGGTAACTTTGGGACAGATAAATTTTACAAGTAAATAGCCGTAAAGAAGCATTTTGTACCAAAGAGGGACACAGAGCTATATACATATAAATGAAGTTAAAAAAGTTTGAGAAAATATAGTTCTTTTAAATATAAATAATATTTTTTAAAATATTGTTTCTTTAAAAAAACTGAATAAGAAGAATTTTTTGGAAAGAACTAACAAATACAGATAGCAAATATATTAGTTTCACAGGTCTGAATGATTAAATATCCATCATAAAAATAAATCAACATTTTTCTTATATGTGCAAAGTATACGACCTATTGTCTAAATAAAAAATGTCTATATCTATATGGCGGATTCATCTCTCCAAAAAATCCTATATATGGGTATTTCGCCACTGCAAGGAAATCTACAAAATAAAATAGTTATTTTTTGTAAACACTTCTGGGCGTTAATCCCAAACGGAAACTACTTGTCAGAAGTTAGGTTTACAGATATACAAATTTGCCTAACGAACAAAAAAATGCTTAACGTTTCGGAGAGTTTATCTCTTTCCATCGTCGGAAGCAAAAAAAAATAAAAAAAAATAAAGAAAAAAAACTATTTAAAATATGTAAATTCAACTATTCGAGAACACTTTAATTTTTTAAAACAGATACGTCTACAAAAACCGGTGACGTTCTGTTAAAATGACGTTATGATTATATCAAGTTAAACTTCAAAATTAACAATTACTACCTGATAACAATTACTTAATAAGCTAAAACCAAAAAGCTCCAAACTTTCTGTATGATTATTTTTAATTTTTCGTATGTTATGTTTATTTATGTTATGTTCTTTAAAATCAAAGAAGCGATTGCCATACATTACTAACATCTACAGATGCACGATCAATACATTTATTTTTATTAGATTGTATTAATAAAGCCTCTTTTATTTTTCTTTTAGAGGCTATCGCTTCTTTCATTATAATTTTGGCGTTATTAAAATTTATTCTGAGCTCTGTGTCCCATGAATGCTGACAAATCTTTAGATTTGTGAAAGTCTCCCTTTCTTAAATAATCTTTATGTTCTTTAATTCGAACATTTAAGGGTCTAGATGTTTCACCAATGTATTTCATCTTTATCTAGAAGCAAATATACTTTTTTATTGTCTAAAATATTGTAGCAAAAAAAATATTCTTAAATAAAAAGGCCAATGTATGTACACTCTAATTTTAGAGATACAATAACTCTGTTACTGACATTAGGTGGTGTATATTTGCTTAGCACTAGCCTAAATAATTAGAATTCACACATAAATAATTAAAATTCACACATACAATTGACTAAATAACTGCTTCAAAAAGGACACTTCAATTACCATGTCAATCTTTAGTACAAAATTATATTCAGGCTAGGATACATACTAAACAATTCGTAGGGCAACTTTGAGACAGTACCAAAATTGGCCCGCAAAGATAAAATTTTGTCTAAAAGCTAATATATTTTTCTCCCAGTATCATTCATTTAAAAATCATTTTTTAAAATCGTTTAATCAGGAAATAACTGTACTTTAAGATATATATTAACTAGTTTTTCACAGAACTTCACAGTTCTGTTTGTAGCATAGAAAGTATACATAATTCGTAAAATATACCTATTTGTAATACAGGGTGTCCCTGAAATAAATGCAAGTATTTTAAGGGGTGGTAGATCTCGATAAAAGAAACATATTTTCTCTTTATCGTTTTTCAAATAAGTCTTAAATAACGGACTTATTTTACTTTGAAAATTTCCAAAATAGTTATTTATGATATAAGTGCTAAAAGTGGTATTTAATTTTGTGAGAAGGGAATCCCTTCGAAAAACTAAAAAAAAAATCCAAAATTTTTTTCAAAAAATTCCGAATTTTCTAATTTTTTTTTTCGCGAAACAAACCCTCATAGGCGTGCTTTTGGGGTTTAGACTATACTACCAGTTAAAATACTTGCACATATTTCTGGGACACCTTGTATATAAAATTTTTGAAATGTTAATAAACATGCAGTGTTCAATGCAGAATGGCTAGATTGGGTTATTTAGTCGTATTTTAGTTGGTCTGTAGCATGTAGCAGAAATATCTTTATTCTTGAAAATGGCGAACATACTTACATTACACAATGTGAAAATTTGAGGAATGTATCAAAATTATGCCGCAATCACAAAGATACCCCAGTTTACGGTATATTGAGCATGCTAACTGCTAGCCGAACCATAGTTAACTTCTGCTGTATCCAAAATACATAATTGGCTTACATAAAATTTCTATTACAAATTATACTCAACATTGAAACAAAAATACACTTCTTTTTAGAATACTATTACTAGTACTTTACCAAGTGCAACTACTTATGGTTCAAGGGAAGCACCATTTACATCTCCACCACTGATTACAGAGCGAAACACACAAAACCCTCCCACTACCGATACGGTAAGAGACCAAACGAAATTATTTTCAGAAATATACCGATGAAGTATTTTAAAAACAAAATCTCTTCCAGCTGTTATCATCACCACATGTTTCGACACAATCACCTGCCAGTACAAAAATCCCTGAAACAACAACACTCTTAACAACCACTACTACTAAAACCACAAGTACGCAAACTACCACTCCCACAACCACTACAACTACCACCACCTTGCGTACAACCACTCCCACAATTAAGTCAACCACTGAGAAGTTGCAAACAACCACGCAAAAGAGGGATCTGACCACAACAAGGCCAGCAGTTCCCGTCATCCAGCAAATTAGAAGTACTGAGAGGCCAAGAACTACCACTGGATTCCCCACACTCTTGCCGTCGACAATTTTGCCATCGCTTTTGACCACGTTATTCCCTAATTTGTTGAGAGTGTCAAGTCCCAGACCATTTGTGTCAAGTGCCGGAAATCCTTATACCAGTCCTGTTTTCTCTAGTACCACAGAAAACCATCGATTTGAGGTTCTCTCCGCTGCCGGTACTACTGTACGTATATCATTCCGTAAATTCTGAGAAAAAACTCCACATCAACTGATGACCTATACGTTTCATGATATTATTAAGCTCGCTTTAGTTTGTACAGTATGTCCCCGGATTGTCTTTAAAAGAGGAAAAAGTTTTTTATTATTGACATTTTGAGAAAAATGCATTCATTCTTCATAAAATTTTTGGCTTGTTCTATAAAGTCCTAATCCAGTTTATACTTTTCCAAATTTCCATACAGTTTTAGAGAAAATTAAAAAAAAAACATGGAAATATAGTTCAATTTTTCCGAATTGAAGTCCTAAAAATCAGAATTAGAGTTTCTATGGTTATTATAATTTCGTTTTCATTCTTTGATAGATTTTATTACTGATAGAATTTTAATTAATGTTATATTTTTTGCAATTTTAAAATGTTAATGAACCAAAAAATGATTTAGTTCAATGCAAAATGGGATACTTTAACAACACAAAAAAATATGACGTTAACCAAAATTAATAATAAACATTTATCAAAGAATGAAATTGAAATTATATTACCATAGAAACGCCTTTTGATTTTTAGATGACTTTTACGACTTAAGCTTCATTCAGAACCTCGCAATTAGTGGTTTCAATTACACTTATACTTTTTAGTTTACGATCTTTCACAATGTTTAAAAAACACAATTAAAATTAATAGAATATCCTAGCAACAGCTTGCGTTAGTCAGTTGTATCCATAGAGAAACTCTAATATTTAGCTTATAAAACAATCAACTTTTGATTTCTAACCACAATTTCTCTTGACGGAAGATAATCAAAGGGCAAAATAACATTTCTCTCGCAAATTTTGAAGTATAATTATTGAAAAAGTGAAAAGTTTGATAACTTTTTCTACTAATAAAAAATGTCTACCACTAATTTTGATGTTCTGAATGCTTACATTGAAATTAAAGGAACAAACTTCTACGCTAATTGAAACCACTAATTTATTCCACTAATTGCGAGGTTCTGAATGAAGCTTAAAGCTTCATATTATTTATTAGCTTAAAGCTTCACGTTATACTTCAATGTCATTTTGGCCTTTGATTATTATTATCCGAAAAAAGATATTGTGGTTAGAAATCAAAAGCTGATTTTTCATAAGCTAAATATTAGGCTTTCTCTATGGATACAACTGACTAAGGCAAGCTGTTGCTAAGATATTCTATTAACTTTAATTGTGTTTTTTAAACATTGTGAATGATCGTAAACTTCTTCTTCTTCATGTGCCTTGGCGACCATCAATTGGAATTCCTCCCTGTCATGAGCCAAAAGGATAATTGCACTGACCTTTCCTATATTAAACCACTGATGCAAATTCCGCAACCAGGAAAACCGTTTACGCCCGATGCCTCTTCGTCCTTCAATCTTTCCCTCAACGATCAGCTGTAGGAAACTATATTTGTTATTTCTAAAAATATGACCAAAATATGCTGCTTTCCGTCGTTTTATTGTAGTCAATAGTTCTTGGTCCTTACACATTCTTTCTAATACTTCGAGATTTGTTATTCGTTCGGTCCAGGATATTTTCAACATTCGACGGAATAACCACATCTCAAATGAATACAAGCGTGACATGGTCCGTGCCTTCAACGTCCATCCCTCGACTCCGTATAACAATGTAGAGAGTACATAGCATTTGGTAGCTCGCCATTGAGTAGTCAGATTCAGGTCTCGGTTGCAGAGTAGAGTCTTCATTTTGAAAAATGTGTTTCTGGCTATTTCAATTCTATATTTGATTTCTTTATCAGGAACCCATTTATCATTCAGCCAGCAACTCAAGTACTTAAATCTTCTTACCCTTTCTATATTTTGATCTTCCACTTGTATCTTGATATTTTCAATATTTAGTTTGCTAATAATCATAAATTTTGTTTTGTTTATATTTGTTTTAAGACCATGACACTGACTAATACTGCTAACTCTGTCCACCAGGCACTGCAAATCTTTCTCATTGCCAGCTAGGAGTACCGTATCGTCAGCATATCGGATGTTATTAATAGGTTTACCATTGCCATCTAACCCAATCTGCTTCCGTAAATGTATCAGCTTGTCATGTTTCACGTTATCAAATGCTTTCTCATAATCTATGAAACATGCGAAGGCACTTGTCTGCTGATCGAGGCATTTTTGGACTAAAACCTGTATTGAGAACAAAGCATCTCTGGTTCTCAGCCCACTTTTAAAGCCGAATTGAGTTTCACTTATATTTTCGTCAAATAAGGCTTATCAGACGATACTTGATGCATCTTTTGGAGTTTGACTTTTTAGGGAGAGTTACAAATGTGGATTGCAGCCATTGTTTAGGTATCTCTCCGGTGTTGTAGATGCAATTAAACAATTTAAGTAAAAGATTCATATTTTCTTCGTGTAACAGTTTAAGGATTTCAACATTTAAATCATCAGGACCGACAGCTTTTCCATTTTTAGTTGCTGTCAAGGCTGTAACTAATTCCTCCTTTAGTATGTCTGGTCGGTCTAAGCAATTGTCCCATTGATCTGTTGACTCTCGATAATCAAAAAGATCGTAAACTAAAAAGTATAAAGTGTAATTGAAATCATTAATTGATACCACTAATTGCGAGGTTTTGAATGATGCTTTAAGCTTCAGATAATCAAAGATAAGGTAAAAATTACATTTCTCGCAAATTTTGAAGTGTAATTAGTGGAAAAGTTAAAAGTTTGATCACTTTTTTTACTAATTAAAAATGTCTACCACTAATTTTGACGTTCTGAATGCTTACATTGAAATTAGGGAAATAGACTTCTATGCTAATTGAAACCACAAATTTATTCTACTAATTGCGAGGTTCTGAATGAAGCTTTAGAAAAAATTCAATTATATTTTTACCTCTTTTTAATTTTCTTTACAACGGTATAGAAATTTGGAAAAGTATTTAGAAGAAGCAAATATTTTTATGAAGAATGCATATTTCTCAAAAACTTACCTAATTATAAAAAAGTTTTTCCTCTGTTAAAGCCAATATAACGATATACTATATAATATGTACATAAATTATAAGACCTTAGAGAATTTAAAGTATTTGGTAAGTAAACAATGGTAGCCATGAAGGTAGGTAAGGTATTCCAGTAATAAGTATGTTTGATAAATGTAAATAAAAGCTATGAAAGTAAAGTGGTGCCATTTGTGGTAAATAATATTAACATCAGTCTCTATAAGCCTAAAATATGTGTTCACACTTTTCATGTATAGCACTGGTGCTGGTTAATTAAAAACAGATCACCAGACTCACTTATATTCGTTCATACTTCTGATATTGTTACAGTGGACAGCCATACAAAATATATCAATATATATTTCCTCTATTTCTATTCTTATCTTTGTATTCTTATTTTTAAAACTATATAGGTTCTAATCTTCACAGTTGCTGTGGGGTTTTCATATTTCAGTTTCTTTCAGTTTGTATCACTGCGTTTAATAAGAACGTCCTTTTGCAAATATTAGGAATATGTTTTCTAAATATTATTGTCATTTTTTATTTTACTTTATTAACTGTTTTTACTGAAAAATACACTAACCGGCACGAAAAACGGGCACCTTAAAATGTTAATATATTTTGTTCTAGTAGGCCGATTTTGATGATTTTTGAATAATGTAGCTACATTATTCGATTTTTTAGTGTCACTTTCTATATTAAAAATAAAAGTTTCCAACTGTCAATTTTGCGGAGACAAACAAAATTATGATATTATTTAACTCTCCCGAAACAACATTTTATAGCTTCATAGTTTCTCATATCGATTTGATCAAAAGCAAAAATGCATTTAAGCAGTTCGACGAAACTATGAGAGGATACAATATAATTTGCAATATTAATGGTATACTTTTTTTAATCAACTAGTGATTAAATGTTTATGAACATCTTCTAAAATTATAATTATGTACCTTTAAAAATTTTCGTTATAGCCAAACCAAACCAATTATGCCCCACTAGCAAAATCGGTGATTAAAACTATGCTCGTTTCCATAATTGAACTTATCTAAAAAGTTTTTTTAATTGGAATAATAAATTATAATACAAGACTAGAGCAAATGCATGCCCAACAGCCATCAGACAATAATAATAGTGCTTTTTCAATAATAGTGCCGTTACAAAAATCATAAACACTATTTCATAACTGGTGCCCAAAGCAAAAGCATGGTTTTAAACTAAAAATTACGAAAAAAAGTTATTGTCTTCTTCAGAAGCGAATATATACAACAACAAATAAACTATTGAGATGAACCAAAAAGGTAACTATTGAGAAAAGATGAACATAGATGATAAAATTATTTTTAATTGCCTTGCAATATCAACATATTCAGGTGTTTCAGACTTTTACCAAAATATCAACATTTTCTTTTCCCTCGTATAATTAACAGACGGAAACTTTAATTTTTAATTTAAAAAAGTAAACTTAAAAGTCAAATAATTTAACTACAAATTGATTAAAAATTATCAAAAGCGGCCCACTCGAACAGAATATATTAAATTTTAAAATACATCAAAATTTTTGCGCCGGTGAGTGTATACATATACAGATAACATAAATATATATATATTTTGTAATTGCTAGTAATTATTAAAGCGTGATACAAGTTTATATTAATTAATCCACTCTAATAACTTCAACACCAAACTAAACTTTTTGTAGGCTAAACCTTCAACAGTTCTTCCCCCCTCCTCAACATCTCAAAGAATATCTACAACCACTACGCCAAGTACCACTACCCGTCCAACTACAACTCCAGCCCCAACTACTCGATCCACCACCACAACCAGATCCACCACTACTACCACTCGGCCCTCTACCACAACACGATTAACTACAACTACTACCCAAGCTCCCACTACCACTCTCCTAACGTCTACCACCGTGTTCCCGCAAAAACCGAAATCTGTACCACCATCCACTACCTTGAGTACCAAGGACCAAACCGATGCTCTATTCGAGGAATTGAAAAAAAGCGGAAAATTGAAAAATTTAAACGAAGAACAGAGGAAAAACTTGGAGGAGATAGAGAAAATCGAAAAAGAACAAGCAGAACTATTGCAACAATTAAGCGTTTTAACGACTATGGTAATTTAATTTAGAAAAGGGCGGCAGTATAGATAGAGGAGATGAAAATTATATATTTTGATATATTTTTTCTTATTATTATATTCTGCATAATTGTTGTAAATTAACTATAAATATTTATTTTTTAGTTCGGTGGACAAAATGCACAGTTGCCTAGTTTATCCAGAATACCGAAACAAAATGTACAAATAGCCGGCAATAATGATAATTTAGCAAACAGGGTAAGTTTGACAACAACACCAGGATTCTTTTAACTTGAATAAATCTAGTGTTTTCTACACTAGAAGAGAAATTTACAAAATAATGTTTTTGGACTGTTTTTTTTGTAATCTTTTGTAAACACAACTGCGTTAAATCCAAACGGTAATCAGCTTGTCAATGGTTTTTTACTAGTAAAACAAATTTGCCCAACAGACAAAAAATGCTTAACGTTTCAGAATCTCTCGTCGTCAGAAACAAAAAACGGAAAGAAAAAAAACGTGTCTGCACTATGTGCCCATATTTGAGTAAGACTTCTTCTTACTTCCGTCTGTCCGTCTGTGGAATACATTCCGGTACCTCTATCCACGTGCCGAGTTTGGTTCCAATCGACTCATAATTAAGAAAAATCCCGATTTCGTCTATTTAGAGGCATTGGTTCGAAACGTCGATGGCTTCATCCTGTAGCCCGTCCCAAATTATGCCGAAATCGACCGACATTCTTTTCAATATCAAATCGTTAGTCTCACCCTCATGAAGATATAAACAAAACGTCGTATTCAGCTTTGCAGAGCGGGACCGTGTTCACCGTCGCGTCGGTCACATAGCCTACCCACCAAATTTTGTCGCGATCGGACGACATCAACTTTTGACGTTTCTTACGTCAAAACTAACTGTCACAGTGACACGTGTCGTACACGGTCAAGTTGGCCTTGGTCCAATCTATCGACATACCAAATTTCATTTAAATCGGACGATTTTTTGTTTTGATTCATTGATGATGGGCTTTCGTAGTGCACGCAAGGTCGTCAAAATATCATGAAAAGATGGGGTTTTTCGAGCCCCATCTATATTCCGAGTTTGAGCCCCCTAGCTCACATAGAGCCCGACTTACGACGCTCCGTCGTACCCCCCGATCGTTACCACTTTTCCTCTCGCGTCTAGTGTGTCACGGCCTTCAATTTTTACTCCCATCGCGCGTAAAGAAGTTTCACTTCAAAAAGTATTTAAAATATCTAAATACAAAATACAACTATTCAAAATAACTTTAGTTTTTAACAGATATGTATGTCGCAGGCGCATAGAATAATCCAGCTTTTTGTAAAAAGACTAGGCATATTATAAGACGCCGGCTTTTTAAACAAAAGAAGGAATTAATACAAAAAGTCTATCTATTTTCAGTCACTTTGCAAAAAGCCTAATCAGAATTAGGCATATTAAACAATGACGATGTGTTCTGTACATTCCTGCAAAAAGACTGTCTGTTTTCGGTCGTTTTGCAAAATGCCAAATCGAGGCCAGGCAGATTAAAAAATGATCAACATTTACTTAGCTATGAGCATAAGCATATTGAATAATTTATGCTTTAATAAAAATACCCATATTTTCCTATAAAAAAACAATAATTTATGTCAAAATTTTATTTTGTTTACATGAAAACAACTTGAAACCTATTTCATAAATTATAAGTAACATAATTTTAAATACAATAGTATATTAAACAACGAGTTTCGAAAACGACGTTTTGCACACGAGTTCGACAGTTTGTTGTCGACACAAGTCGAACGAGTGTACAAAGAAGTTTTCAAACGAGTTTTTTACGCTATTTTTTCTATGACTACAAATTAGCAGCAGACTCACTCAGTTTTTGGTTTGGTTTTTCTGACGGCTGCGTTGCGTTTGGCGTTTCAGCTAAATACATGGTTAAATGCAACAAGTTTAGATTGGAAAGCCCGTATAAATTTTGGATCGCGAAATTATTTTGGGTCGCGACCGTTATACGCGATCTGGCGCTGCTATAGCGGTCGCTAAGAACAACGGCAAACAAAAACAGAAATAATTTTCTCTTGTCAAAGTCAGAATCTTCAAAAATCATAATAATCTTTCAAAATCTAAACCGCTCTCATTAAAGAAATCCCGAAAAGTGTTTATAGCGTCCATTTTCAAAAAAATTATTGCTATCTTGTGAGTTTAATTCAAGTTTTATTTACTCCAACCGGTGATAATTGTGAAAAAGTGGCATTAAAAACTTAAAAAGCTGTGCTGTGAACTGCAAAAACCATCGTGGATCGTGGCATAACGTCGGTTTCCAATGTTTCATAGGTATTTCATACATGCGTCCTTACATAAAATAAAGTTTCTTGTATGCAACACACTGTATTTTATTTATTGAATTAAACGAAAATAATAATATTCGTTTATTATAATATATTATTATATTATATTTATTATTATAATATAATTGTTTATTCAATAAATTTGAATAAACAATATTTGGCGATATAATTCCGGAAAAAGCCGAACCGCTCCGAAATTTTCAAAAGTTTTGGGTCGCGACCGTTGCAAGAACAGCGCCAAATAATGTTTACATTGTCCTTATGGGCACTTTCCCATCTAAACTTGTTTCATTTATGTTCTCTATGGCTAAATATTAGATGTTAAAGATGTTAAAATTGGCACATGTCGTGTGCAAAATGACACATGTCGTGCGCTAAATCCTTAGCACACAACAGTTTGCAAAACGTCAATTTCAGATCGAGTTTTCCGTGTGTCAAACTGTATTTTCTAGGCTAGTCGTAGAAAAAATATATTAAAATCTTAATATTAATATCTAATTTAATTATTATACTCTGTAGGTGCTTGTCAGATATAACACCCTCCGAATTTTGTACTTTTTTTTATATCACTCGAAAGCATACATCGAAATAAGTATTTCAAGCCAAAAAAAAGTGTGGATGATCCATAATTTAATGAAAAAATTAACATCTAATTATTGCTACAACAAGCTACTTTCTATGCGAAAACTCCTCCAAATTTTGTCGGCGTTGCCAGATTCATTCATTTCTTCTTGAAAGGTTCATTAAAAAAACACGTGTGCTGGTCGGAAGAAAACTCGCGTTAAGAACAGATTATAAATTATTTTAAAATCAAGAAAAGGCGATCGTCTGAGGAACTGCTCCTACCCATAGCTGATATTTTGCCTACGATATCTGACTATTGATAACTACAAAGTTGCACGAAAGAGTTTTGATTGCGTTGGTTTCAACTTCTTTGGGGGTTAATCTGTTGTTTTTTCTTATATTTTAATACGAATCTGAGTGCTTTCAATGTCTTGATTTTAAAATAACTTATAATCTGTTCTTCTCGTGACAGCGCTACTGTATAAGGATTTGTTCGTCCGGCGACCGGCACGTAAAATCAAGCGAAAGCAATCAGATTCGTATTAAAATAAAAAACAAAACAAAAGATTTACACCCTCACGAAAAGGTTGAAACCAACGCAATCAAAACTCTTTCGGTTTCAACTCTTTTTTTGTATCATGTAACGTACCGTATGATCGAAAAAAAACGGCGTCAGCCATGGCTATGAAATGAACATCACTGTCATTTTATATGTAAAATTATATGGGGAATGTCATCGATCGTCATTTCAAAGCCAACTGGACGCCGTTTTTTTTTCGATCATACGGTATTATGTATCATACAAACAAGAAATAACTTTGGCAACAATTCTTACGCAGCTTACATCCTTAACAACAATTGGTGACAGACGGCTCCGGCGGCAAGTTTGAATCGAAAGAGTAAATCGATCAGGCAAATATTACAAAAGATATCACCAACTCTATTTTTGATTTATGACTTACTAATGCTTCTCAATGATTAATTCTGACCTTTATATTAATAAAAAAATGTATATAATCGTCATACATTACAATAATTACACGCTTATACAACTTCACCATAACGTAAAAATTCACTTTTAATTTATTTATTTTTCAATAAATTGTGGTTCATCCGCAATTTTTTTTTGCTTAAAATTCTTATTTAAGTGTATGCTTTCGACTGATATATAAATAAATGCCAAATTCGAAGGGTGTTATATCTGACAAGCACCTACTCTGTAATTTGATTCTGTGTACAGTGCTGCCTCTTTGTGGAACTTTCCTTTCTTTTTTTGGAACTTTTATTCTTTTAGAATAAAATGAATTTAAATCTCTATAATAATCGTCCTTAACATACTCCATTTAACACAATTATCACATTTTGTGCCATTATTTTCTAATTTTGAAAGAGAAGTTCAAAAAATGTCGTATAAATTTATGAGTTTTACTAATTCCGCGTAAAATGTTTTGTTCAATCTGACTAGTCTTTAGTCTTCGTTAGGTATGTTGCAAAGCGACTAGCTAGGCTCTTTGCAATCCTTTTATTGTTAAAACGCCGGCGTTTTTATAATATGCCTAGTCTTTTCCCAAAATGCTGAGTTTTTCGATACGCCTTCGACATGTATAAATTGTTGTATTAGAATGTCATTATATATGAAATCAAATTTTAAATTAATAATGAAGACCTGATCGCACATACTTATGAGGTAAAACTAAAAAGCTAAAACGTTCTGTATATGATATGATTTTTTGTTTAGTTTGAATTTTTAATTTTTTCACGTGGTATTTTGACATAGCATTTTCCATTTACAAAAAACTCAGAAGGCTTTCTTTTGTAAAGAAATGAACCAGCTACAAAGGTACAGACATTCTTTAAAATATTTGGTTTTCAGATAATATCTCTGGCAGTAGAACGAGAAAAATCCCGATCAACCACTACAAAACCACCACAAACGACAAAAAAACCTGTTACCAAAGCAACCACGCAATCTACTACCAAGCGACCCAATTCCATTCAAGACCAACTTCCTATCACTAAAGTAGAGAGTGCAACCAAGCGAACAACACCTTCATTAGATGAAATATTAAAACAATATAATTTGGATGGACTATCTACACCTTCACCATTATCCTCTACGTACGGAAAAACCGACGAGGCACTTTTGGCAGCGATTTTAAAGGAACAAGGCATCGGACCTACAACTCCAAAGGACCTAGGCGATAAAGTTAAACAAGCGGTAAATACAGTTGTTTTATAATACTAAAATGCTAGGGTGAAAGTGGTGTAAAAATGAGACGTTTTTTAAACTTTTATTTTTTTTTCTTAGTTACAACCATTTATTTTTTTAAAAATACAAAAGTATTTATTCTATATAAAAGGCTTTCTTTTGTAATGTGATAATGGAAACTATTGCAAAGTAAAAATATACCAACAGTACCCCTAAAAAAGTTAGTATGCAGAAAAGTGTGTCTAATCTATCTCTCTCTCTCTCTCTCTCTCCACCTGAAAAATGCTTCGTTAATATGAGAAGTTCAGAATGTTTAAAGGTTTATCATTTAAATAAGCTGTAGGTTTCATGTTTCATATCAACTATAGGGTTCGATTCTGCTTTGTTTTGTAGCTACAGGGTGTTAAAATCTTAATATTTTTTTGATTTATTTTATTTATTGTATTATGTACTTTTAGCGTTTCGAATGAAATGTTGAGGGTAAAAGTTACTATAAATGCGACATATTTTAAAGCTAAAAAAGTGTCGACATATTCACCAGTGACGTGCATATGGGTTATCACTGGAATATTTTTCTAAAAAAAGCATGTACGCCACTGACATTTTTTTTTCTTGTTGAGAAGTTGTCTCTTGATATTTTATTGATTTCGGCCTCCTTGATGAGATAAACGCAATTTTATTACTTTGCCTTAATCCAAGTCTAATAGCAACCTTTAAAAAAATTAATATCATTAATTTTCGAAAGTTTTAAATATGTACTCGTTGATTCCTCATAAAAAAATATGAAAAAAAGTTCCTATAAAGATGAGTATGGAAATGCATAGTTTTAGAGTTAGGATGTTAAAAAAATGTAAAATTATTTTTTTTTAATTATCTTAAATAGGTACCATTATTTTTTTATTTAAAATTACTGTATAGGTTGGACTAATAGTAATAATAACTAATAACAAAAAAATAATAAATTCGGTAAAATACAGGGTGGTCTGAATTGTATTCCGGAAACTTCGGCAGCATATTCTGCAGATAAAAATAAGTAAAAAACTTCGTATAAATATATGTTCTAAAATGCTTAGTTTCGCAGATACAGGGTATAGAAGTTTCATTTTTATTTTGATTTTTTCCTAATAATTTCTGAAGTAACGACAATATTTGGATGAAATTTGGTGTCTGAGAGTTTTTTGACATGAGAAATTTGAATTCGATGTCAATATGTCTTCTACTTGTAGAGGGTGCCACCTACAAATTTTCTTACTGGTTTGAAGAGTAATAACTTTTCATCCCTACCTGTATAAAACTACTGAGTAAAAAAATATACATTTATGACCGAGATATTTGGAATCGAAATTATCAATACCTATCATCACTGACATACATTAAACATATTCCTATCATCATTGACATACATTAAACGAAATAAATAGTTATTAGACTGAAATCATAAATTTGAAATGTTTTTGTGCCAAAAGTTCAACAGAAATTGTTGTATCATCATTTTTCCAAAAAAATTATGATTAATTTAAAAAAATAAAAAGTTCCCAATTTTATCATTGCAATCAAATAACTATCTACTCAACATATATTTATTTTTTGTCAAAAATGACGTGTATTGATTATTTCCATTTTAAATATCTTGAGAACGATTTTTGCCAAGAGATATTTTTTACGTAAAAAGTCACGGAAATGTATATTTTTTCAATCAGTAATTTTATACAGATACGGACGAAAAGTTATTACTCTTCAAATGAGTTTAAACACATGTAGGTGGCGCCCTCTACAAATGGGAGTTATATTGACATCAAAATCAAATTTCTTATGTCAAAAAACTCCCAGACACAAATTTTCATCCAAATATTGAGGTTAGTTCAGCAATTATTTGGAAAAAATCGAAATAAAAATGAAACTTCTACACCCTGTATCTCCGAAACTAAGCATTTTAGGATATACATTTATACAAACTTTTTTACTTATTTTTACCTGCAGATTATGCTGCCGAAGTTTCCGGAATACAGTTCGGACCACCCTGTATATAATTTATTAATTTTATTTTTATTTTTTAATTGTGAAAATTGCATTTATCTCATAAAGGAGGCAGAATTCGACAAAATATCAAGAGATAACTCATCATATGGGTTATCACTGGAATATTTTTCTAAAGAAAGAATGTACGCCACTGACTTTTTTTTTGTTAGCGACATAGTGTAAACAGTTTAATGCCGATTAAAATTTGTCTCTTGATATTTTGTCGATTTCGGCCTCCTTGATGCGATAAACGCAATTTTATTAATTTGCATTGAACCAAGTACTTATAGCGGTGCTTATAGTAACTCTGACCCTGAAAATTTCATTCAAATCACTAAAAGTACTTGGAAGAAAATGATAACAAATCGAAAAACTATTAAGACCTTAACACCCTGTGGCTACGAAACAAAGCAGAATCCGACCTACATTGATATGAAATATAAATCTTATTTTTGCGTGAGAAATCTTTCCACAGGAGATGGCACATGTTTTTTGAAACACCCTGTATAATTCATCACTCAAAGGTGTGATGAACAAATCATGGGAATGATCTCTTAACAATAATTATTATTAAATGGTCCTAAGAAAAAAACTGACTGAATATAAGTTTTTACTGGTTTTATTTAAAAGTCTCATTTTTACCGGAATATGGCTTGTCTCATTTTTACACCGCCTAGACTCTATATTTTATTTAACCCATTTTTAGGGATTGTTTGAGGAGAATCCGGCAACCAAAGCTCCAAGACCAAAGTCCAAACCAAGACCAGCACCGACGCAGCGACCGAGAGGAAGGTTAATGCAAGGTTTAAATTGGCTGTTAGATTTTTTAGACCCTCCTACAACTAAAAGACCTGCTCCACGCAAGAATAAGCCAAAGAAAACTAGCGGAGATGAAGCTGAATTGCTAAGCAATCAGCCTACTAGAATAACTCCTGTGGTTTCTGGAGCTCCCGTATCCAAGCCAAATTTATCGCAAGAAGAAATTCAAGTAACAAACAATATTTTATACGGGGTGTTTCAAAATACATGTGCCGTCTTTTGTGGGGAAATTCCTTACGTGAAAATAAGATGCTATATAGTTGATATAATATATCAACATAGGTCCAATTGGCCCGATTTCTGGAACTTCGACAAAACAAAGTAACGCCTTTGAAAGCGGTAAGCGAAAGTCCCAACTAGCATTTATAGTGGCAGATATGTAACTGCTACTATCAAAGGCCACTACAAAGTGGGCGGTGTCCATCGGCAGCTACGTCGTATATTCGTAGTTGCTAAGTAACTGCTACCAAAATGGTCATGGGTAGTTTTTGCCACTAAAAGAGTTACTATGATGTGTTACTATAAAGTAGCCGACTGGTGAATGCGCCTTATCTATTACGAAGCTGCCTAGTCGCGGGTTCGTGGCAGCCAAGTGTTATCCACCGACATGTGGAACTTTCGTTAAACTGTTAAACTTTATTCGCAGCGACCTCTTCATGCAATTTCACATTTCATAAAAATAAATGTCATGATGGAAAATAATTATAGAAGCCATTATTATTTTTTCGTTATTTACCGTGCAATTTTAACGCCTTTTTTAGATAAATTCCAGACCGCAATCGACTTTACTGAATAAAATAGTGGGTTTATTTACAAAATTTTCGAGCGCCTCTCAAAACCTTATTATATTATTTGCAATAGAAAGTCATGTAGTAATTAAAAAAATAATTTGCTTGAAACTTGGGTCAAACTTTAAAATATTAGTCCACCGTTAGAAATAACAAAATAACTAAGAAAAAAAGCTTCAATCTAGGTATATTTAGCTTGAAAACGCATAATGTTTGAGCCATTTGGCTGTTCGTCTAAAAAGTCATGAAAAAAATATGGACGTTTAATCCGAAAAATACTTTATAGTTCCATATGCTTCCACAAAGTACCGGGAACAATAACATATTAGACCAACCCTACCCGTTTGGACTTTTAAAATCTTCGAATTGATAAAGTGGCAATTGTAGATACCCAAAGGCGATTTTATAGAAACAATAACATTTTTGGAACTACATGGTCAACGATTCTTTGGAACCATAAAGTGATTTTTTCCAAGAAAGTTCCCTGCGCCACCAAATTGCCACTTAATTGGAGCGTTATGCTACACCGATCGCGGCGGTGGCGACTGTACATTCCATTGGTGCCACTATAACGTTCCGTCTTATCCTTTGAGGTTGGGATGGGAAATGGGAACGAAAAAACTACAGAAACAGCTTCAAAAATGTCACAGTCACTACATGATTTACGATGTTCATCAGTTAGAAAGATGAGTTTTTGTTTCCGATGTTGATGCTTCGAGTCGCAGTGATTCCTTTTGTTTAGTTCTTCGGGAAGTACTAGAATATTTAAATTTCCTTTTATTCAACTTAGGCATTTTACAAAATTTTAATAAAGCTTAAAAGAAAGTAAAAGAAAACACTAAAACAGAGCAGCACACGATGCAATTACATTTATTAGGGTATATTAAGTTATGCATAGTCACTATAAAGTAGCCGTTTATGATTCCCGTTACTTTTTAGTGACAATGGATGAGCGGCGGCTACTTTATAGTAACCTAGGAAGGTAGCGGTAACCAATTTGCTACTTTCAATGCTACTATAAACTAGAAGTAACTAGGTGCCGTGGCCGGGACTACCCCGTAACTTAAATTGTTGCTATAAAGTAACGAAACCTAATGGAGGCATTATGGTAGCACTTCTTAGTAACCCCTATAAAAAGTTACTATAAAGTTTTGAGCCTTTTATGGTGTCATATTCGAAGATTCATGTAAATTAAATTACATGTTTGCGACTTGCAATCGGGGTGTTTATTTTTCACTTTTATGGTAGGTAGGCACTAACCGATCACTCTCGATTCCTCATAGAATAACATTTTAAGTGGCAGAGTAGGCTTAGAAACTATACTTTAAGGGCAGTGGCATTTTAAAAAGGATTGGTAACTATATTTGCTAGTTGGGGTTTTCGATTAGCGGAACGCGAATAAAATTAATAGTCAAATGTGGATAAAACGATGAAAAATGTCAATGTTACGTGAATTTCATAATCTATTGTTGAGTTATAGCAACCTATTTATCTATGGATAATATGTTGTTGTGTTCTTATTATACGAGGGAAATGTTGAAGACGCTTCTCAGCATTTTGGATGTTTTGAAATGATTAGGAATTTATAGAAGAAGAAATAGTTTTCACTAAAGACAAGAGAACGCACAAAATCACGCATCCTTTAGGGTAGTCGTTTTCAAATCGCGTTGCGCAATGGGTAAAGACGCGCTAAGCGCGTCAGATGAGAATATCTAAGTCGGTAGTTAAGTGTCAAAGCGCTAAGCGAAAATTAACGTCATATACGCTGAGCGTCTAAAAGCGCTTAACGTTTTCTAAGTTACAGAATACGGGCTCAAAGTTTAATTGTTTTCGATTTATTATAATTTTCTTCCAAACCAGGGACGTGCATATGGATTATCACTGGAATATTTTTCTAAAAAAAATGTGTGCCACTGACTCATGTTTTCAAAAAACCGTTTAATGCTGATTAAAAGTTGTCTATTGATATCTTGTCGATTTCGACGTCCTTGATGAGATAAACGCAATTTTACTAATTTGCCTTTATCCAAGTTCAATAGCAACCTTTAAAAAAATAATGTTATTAACTAACCACCAGTGTTAAATAACTTCTCATTAATTCCCCAGCAAAAAATGATTCCCCATTAAAATATAGGTCTTTTGTAATTATCTTAAATACCATTATTTTATTTCGAATTTGCTGTGGGTAGCACTGAACATCAGTGTTATAAATTCTAATAATATTTAATAATAAATTAGATTAAATAAATAACTTATTAATTTTATTTTAATTAATTTTGATTAATAAAATTGCATTTATCTCATTAAGGAGATCGAAATCGACAAAATATTAAGAGAAAACTTTTAATCGGCATTTAATAAGAGAAAAAAAAATCAGTGGCGCGCATGTTTTTTTTTTAGAAAAATATTCCAATATTAAATATTCCAACGCATATGCACGTCCCTGGTAAATATGTCGAATAAAATATAGTATAGTAAGCACTTATAGTAACTTTTATCCTCAAAATCCCATTCGAATCTCTAAAAGCACTTGGAAGTGAATTATAATAAATAAAAAAAAAACTTTAACCTCTTTTAGCTAAGAGGTTGAAGCCTCGATTAAAGTTTAATCGGTCCTATGTTGATATGAAAAATAAATCTTATTTTTACGTGAGGAATCTTCCCCACGAGAGATGGAAAATAATTTTTGAAATACCCTGTACAAAGCAATTATTGTGACCAAGAAATGTTTATTTTAGATTTTAATAAAACAGTTGGAAGCTGCTAGGAATGACCCGAAAGCTGTAGAGAATTTGGATTTTTCCAAGATTAAAAGTCTGCAAAATTTAATAAATGTCAATGAAGGTGTTCAGGTTACTTCTGCCGGTCAGCATGGGACTACTTTGAGAGTCACATCAAGGTATGTTGTAATTTTTTTCTGGATGAGTCTTAAATAAGTGCAAATATTTTAGGGGTAGTATATTTCGACCCCAGAAACACGATGATTTTTTCCAAAATTAAAATTTGGAATTTTTTTAGTTTTTACCTAAAAAACATAATTTCTTTATATTACGGCAACATAGGTAGTAGATTAAGTTTACCAGAAAGAAAACCCAGAAAAGATTCAGTGGATCCCAAAATTTAAGCAAAAATTAATTTTTCTTTGTTCGTTGTCCTCTCGGCTGACGTCGATTCCGAATTTTCTAGATTTATAAATACCTTGTCTAATCTGGCGTGCAAGGCGTTTCCTCTTAGGCCTATCAAAAGTAAACAAGGTATACCCTGGTCTACGACCGGCTTGCGTATATCTGCAAAGAACATGCGCTCATTATCTCACCTTAAAAAATTCACAGACAGCGTTTTCTTTCATAATTACGGAAAACTTTATAGAAGGGTTTATCGTAAGACTATAAAAGCTGCCAAGGACATTTATTATAATGGGAGGCTAGCCAAATCCGGTAATGTTGCTAAAGAGACTTTGGGGCTATTGTAAATGACTTAAGGAATAAGACTTCTTCGTCTGGCACAGTCTTTAATTCACCTGAAGATTTAAACACTTACTTTGTTAATGTGGCTAAAAATTTAGTGAACACCATAACTCCTTCTCATGATTCACTTTCATATCTCCCTAAAGCAAATGAGATAAGAAGCACAGTTTCTTCTTCACGCCCGTAGCATTAGATGAGCTCCGTAGTACAATTAAAAGTATTAAAAATAAATTCTCATCTGGGACTGATGGGCTTACTCTCAAAATGTTCTCTGAACTTCCAGAATGCACATTAATCTATCTTACTACTTTAATTAATGAGTCATTCCAAAAAGGAGTTTTTCCAAACTGCCTTAAGACAGCAATAATTATTCCTCTGCATAAAGGAGGAGATAAAGATCAAGCTTCGAACTATCGCCCAATTGCTCTCCTGTCCACATTATCTAAGATCATTGAAAGATTGGTTAAAAAAAGGCTTCTATCTTTTCTCCTTAAATATAAAGTACTTTCTACCCATCAATTTGGATTTCTAAGTAACAGTTGCACAAATGATGCTATGTTCGACCTTTTTAATAATGTATACTCTAGCCTGAATAACCATCACTCTACAGCTACAATTTTCTGTGATTTCTCTAAGGCTTTCGACTGTATAAATCATAATATCTTAATTAACAAATTGCAAAACTATGGATTCAGGGGAGTGCCGCTCAAATGGCTTAAGTCGTATCTTGGCAACAGAAGGCAGCTTGTGAGGATTGATACGTCTATGTCTTCTTGTAAGCCTATAGAATGTGGTGTCCCTCAGGGTTCAGTACTTGGCCCTATTTTATTTCTGGTGTTTATCAACGACATTGCAAATCTAGACATTAGCGGTAAAATCTGCCTCTTTGCGGACGATTCTAGTTTCACTTGGAGCGGCCCAGATGTTACGGCACTATATGATACTATATCCAGTGACTTACGCACCATTAAATCTTGGTGCGATTCTAATCTCCTATGCCTCAACCTTTCAAAAACTAAAGTTTTGTCATATAAAAAGTACTATACAACCTTTTGTACTTAATAACACCACTATTGACGTCGTGGACTCTGTGAGATTCTTAGGACTTGTTGTGGACAACTCTTTAAAATGGGACTTGCACATCGAAGCCTTATCAAAGAAACTAAGCTCTGCCTGTTTTGCGCTAAGATCAGTGTCTAAGGAACTTAACTCGTCAACCTCTAGAATGGTCTATTATGCCCTTTTTGAGTCGCATCTTCGTTATGCCCTTCCATTCTAGGGTACTTGCTGCGCGACAAAATTTGATCGTATTTTCAAACTTCAAAAGAGAGCAGTTCGATACTTATTGGGACTAAACAGTAGAACTCACTGCCAGAATTTCTTTAAAAATTTCAAAATACTGACTCTTCCTTCCTTATTCATTTTTGAATCCGTTTGCTTAATCCGCAAGCACATATTCTCTATTCCGGAACGGCCTTCTCACAACTATCTACTTAGGAATGCGGAGCACGATATTTATCTGCCAACCCCGAGCTCAGAACTAGTTAAGGGCTCAATATTGTACAATGCCAAGAAAATGTACAATCATTTGCCTTGGAATATCAAGTCACTTTCATTCTTTCCCGCATTTCGCAAAGCTCTGAAATCATACTTACTGGAGAGAGCCCTATATGCGGTAAACGACTTTTTTGTTGATGTTTAATCATGAACAATTTAGAATTTTAATTTTAATATTTTGATCATCTCACACACTGGTTAAAGGTCTAGTATTTAATATTTTATAACTCTTGATTTTATGTTATTATAACATGATTTTATCCATTTACAGTTTTCCTTTTGTAAAATTTTCTAGATACGCCTGTGTTCTGCAATGTCCATATATGTTTTATTTGTGATTTTATGACGTAATTTTTTTTTTGAATTGATTTGTATTGTACGACATTTTTTGTATTATTTGTATATTTGTTTTTGTGTTTTTTTTGTTTTGCTTTGTCGATGAAGCTGTTTTGGCTTTTTGTACAATAAAGCGTTGTTTTTTTTGGAAATTTTCAAAGTAAAATACCTAACTCGGTTATTTTGGACTTATTTGACAAACAATAAAAATAAAGTATGTTTCTTTTATCGAGATCTACCAGCCTTAAAAATATTTGCATTAATTTAAGATTCCCCCTGTATAAGTAGGTCTTTAAAAATATGTGTAGTACCTACCTATAGGATTCGAGAAAAGTATTGTTACGGATTTCGTGGGTCCACTAATTTAAACTCACGATAAAATACTTAACGAATTTATTATCTCACTCTGTACACACAATTTATTCTGATTATAAAACACAATTTATGCAACTACTCGTACTATTATTCTAACTGTTCTGGCACCTTCGACAATTACCTCACGATTTAAAACGCGGTATTATCAAACTTCAAACTGTCCAACCGCCAAGCGTGGGCCTTTATATACCCCTACTAACTGTTTCTCGAACCTATAGAATTCTGTAATATTTCTTTCACTTTCTGGTGAATTCGCCATGTTTCTTGGCACGTAGGCACGTTGTGACAATGTAGGCAACCAGTAATACAGTTTACCGCCACATATACCTTGACAGTATTATTGATATTTGAAAAATCCGTAGTACCATAGCTGTAACTTTTATTATGATTTTAAGTTTAAGTACATTTATGACTTCTACAGGGTTGTTCACCACATACGACACGGAGTATTGTAGCTAAACGATTAAATTTTTACAAATCATAAATTTTGGGTTCGTTGAAGGGCTATTAGAGCTACAATTTAAAAATATTTTTACAAGATACAGAGTGTCCCAAATAAGTGAAAAATATTATAGTTGTGTTTTTTTAAATGGAACACCGTGTATATTATTCTATTTTTAGATTCTACGATTGAAATAAAGGTAAATTTGATTAAGGTTTGTTACACTTAAACCTTACCGTTTTTGAAATATTTTTAATTTTGTAAAATTGCAGTAAAAATTTTAAGGCTTCATTTCTCCAAGGGTATCGAAGTTTTTAATACTAAATATTTACGGAAGTTTATTTATTGATCAGATATTTTGTTGCAATAATAAATAAAATACTATATTATACAGAGTGTCTAAAAATTTATATTAAGTAATTACTAGCTCTAAACGACAATAACTTGTTTAATTTAAATGGAACACCCTTTATATTTTACGATAATCAAATGCACAATTTAATTGTCTATCAAATTGTATTATACTATTTTTTACCTATCTCTTCAAGTGTTCGTAGAAAATGCATTTTCTTATAATTTAGACTTCATTTATCACTATACCCATGGAATACTGACATTTTAGATTACTTTAAAGATGTAAGAAATTTTGAAAGAGTACATACTAATTATTAAATAATATTGTCGATATATTTTGCTTATTTTATTAAAAGATAAAAACATTGTTTAAATATTATTTGTTCAAGAATTAATATGATTAATTATTCAAACTACATTTGTTATTGACTGTTTACGGGGATTAATAATAATTGCTCCAAATACTAAAAAATTGAATTTTGTGTGTGTATTAGAGAATGTGGTAAAAAGTAACACCATATAAATTTTATTTAATTTCTTGACGAATGCTTATTTATAAAAACAGATGTTCATTTTCATAATTTATTATTGTATTAATTTCTTAATCAAATGCACATTTATTTATTTTATTTTATGAATAATTCATTAATTAAAACAATTAAGTACGTAATTAACTAATTTTTGGGCCGAAATAATGGTGGTATATTAATAATTAGTAATAATTGGTATCCCCTCTTTTACAAAGATTTAGATAGTTTTCTTTTTTTTAAACAAATAGGCTTACAATATTATAATTTTTACCACCTGTATTGTATGAATATTTTGTACATATTATGTTGCTTTAAAAAAATCTAAAATGTCAATATTCCATGGGTATAGTAAAAAATGAGGTCTAAATTATAAGAAAATGCATTTTCTACGAAAACTTCAAGAGATAGGTAAAAAATGGTATAATACAATTTAATATAAATAAAATATACAGGGTGTTCTATTTAAATTAAACAAGTTATTGCCGTTTAAAGCTAGTAATTATTAATTATAAATTTTTGGACACTCTGTATAAGGTAGTATACTTTTTATTATTGCAACACAATAACTGATCAATAAATAAACTTCAGCCTAAGAAGTTTGATACCCTCGGAGAAATGAAGCCGTAAAATTTTACTGCAATTTTACAAAATTAAAAATATTTCAAAAACGGTAAGGTTTAAGTGTAACAAACCTTAATCAAATTTACCTTTATTTTAATCGTAGAAACTAAAAATGTAATAATATACAGGGTGTTCCATTTAAAAAATACAACTTTGATATTTTTTGTTTATTTGGGACGCTCTGTATCTTGTAAAAATATTTTTAAATTGTAGCTCT